GTTTCAGTCAGTGTTTCAATCTGTGTTTAAGACAGTGATTTTGTCTGTGTTTCAGTTTGTTTCATTCAGTCTTTCAGTCAGTGTTTTAGTCAGTAATTCAGTCTGTGTTTCAGTCAATGTTTCAATCTGTGTTTAAGACAGTGATTTACTCTGTTTCACTTTTTTTCAGTCAGTGTTTCAGTCAGTATTTTAATCAGTGTTTTAGTCAGTAATTCAGTATGTGTTTCAGTCAGTGTTTCAATCTCTCTTTAAGAGAGTGATTTGGTCTGTGTTTCAGTTTTTTCAGTCAATGTTTAAGTCAGTGTTTTAGTCAATATTTCAGTCTGTGTTTCAATCAGTGTTTCATTCAGTGTTTCAATCTGTGTTTAAGACAGTGATTTAGTCTGTGTTTTAGTCCTTGTTTCAGTCAGTGTTTCAGTCTGTTTCAGTCAGCATTTCGATCTGTGTTTCTGTCTGTTCCAGGCAGTGTTTAAATCAATGTTTCAGTCAGTGTTTAAGTCTATTTTCAGTCAGTGTGTCAGTCAACGTTTCAGTCATTGTTTCCATTTGTGTTTCAGTCTGTGTTCACTTAGTGTTTCTCAGTGTTTCAGTCAGTGTTCAGTCTGTGTTCTGTTGCTTGTTACTCACTCTCCAGAAATCGTCTTCTTGCAGCAGCAGCACATGAGAGCCGCCAGGAGCAGTAGGAGGAGCAAAGGGATGCCGATACCTAGAACCAGTCCTAGGATCAGGTTCACATCTGTAGTGCTCCCTTCAACTTTGTCTGCAAAGGATCCATGAACAGGAATATTTTATCTCACAGAATGCACAAGACAGTTAAAGTGGGCAGAATCAGAATGAATGTAAATGTGTTATAGGGAGTTTCAAAACCCTACTGTTTTTTGTGATTTATTTGTATTCAAGAAAAAACATTTGAATCTATTAAAGAATCAAGATATGGTTTTTGTCACCTTGTATCACACAGGACTGGGATCCTTGCACATCAATTGTTCCATCGGTGCCGTTACAAACACATCTGTAGCCTCCGTACGTGTTGATGCAAAGAGCGAACCTGACACACTCTGCCTCCCTGGACGAACACTCATCCAGATCTGTTCATGGAGAGGCAAGAATCACATGCACAACATTTATCACACTTCTTTAGGGTGAGTTGGAAATGAAAATTAAGTCTGTAGAGGATCACTAAAGCACATTTTTTTACTATTTTTTTGTTTTCAATGACACCCTTTACTTTTTAACTGTCAAAACGTTGTCGTCTCTGATCAGACCTTTGATCCTCAGGGGGATTCAATCAGAGGGTCGACAGGAAACAAGAAGAGGACTGAATCTGGATATCAGAGTCAGAGTTTCTTTATTGTCATTCGCACCTCATGTGGTACATGTGGTGGAGAGAAATTATCCTGATTCATGCTCAAGAATCCAGGTTAAAAAATTTCAACAAAGTTAAGCCAGGTCCTCTGGACGGTTTCTTTTTGTTGAAATGTTTCATCTTTCATCCAAAAGACTTCATCAGTCCAAGGAGCCATGTGAAGGAGCTATTTATAAGACTGAGTTTGTTGTGGCTCCTCGGACTGTTGAAGTGTTTTGGATGAAAAATGAAATATTTCAAGCAAAAGGCGCCGTCCAGAGGATCTGACAAAATGAAGCATTTCTAAATAAGAGTCTTGCTTTGCTAATACTTCGAGCATTACAGAAAAGTAAGTCCCAATTTATTTTTGGTCTTTATAAAAAAGTTGATGGACTGTCATCTTCAGAAATGTTCTAGTTTAATATTTGAGGGATTTAACTAATTTGAAACTTTTAAAACATGTTTCCACCCTTGCTAACCCGTAAACTAAATAAAAGTGAACTTTTACCATCCACTTCCATGGTGCTGATGTTAAAGTAGCTGCTGACTCGGGCCAGGTAGTCCCTGATGTACCAGTCTGGGGTGTCACTCGACACAGCAACACGATATTCCTCCACACCTGATCCAGAAGTTTCTACTGGACTTTTCTTGCTAACGTTGTAAAATTTGTTGGTAAAACCTTTGCGCAGAATGCCATCCAGCTGAAAAAAGAATGAGATCCTCAGTTTGCAGGTAAATCTTGTTACAGTAAGCAGACCAAACCAGCATCCCCATTCCTGCACACCCTCGTGAGTCCATCAGGTCTGCTGTACTTCCAGCCCAGGGACACATTGAACATGTTATATCCTGCAGACACAGAACAAACCAATGACCTGAGCTGTGGCAGAGCTAACACAGTTAACACAGCTAATGAAGATAACAGAGTCAACTTAGCTAACACAGCTAATGGAGCTAACAGAGCTAATGGCATTAACAAAGCTAACATAGATAACATAGTTAATGGAGCTAAAAAACTAACACAGCTAAGGGAGCTAACAGAGATAACACAGCTAATGGAACAAATAGAGTTAATGGAGCTGATGGATCTAGTAGGACTATCACAGTTAAATGAGATAACAGAGCTAACACAAGCTACAGATGGATGGAAACGGGATCATACCTGGAGGATTGGGGGAATTACCTGCAACAAACATATCAAATTATAATTCATTCACGATTCTGACAGTATTTCTGTTAATTTGGACTTGAACAGATGTTTGAACAGAAGTTTTACAATATTCTTGGATATTTATGACATTTGTTACCACATCCTGTGTTATCCTTGGAGTCCTTATATTTACAGATGCAGTCAAATGATCCAACATTGTTCTTACACTCATACTTGGCATTTTCACAGGCCATGAGTGCTGAGCACTCATCGATGTCTGTAACATGGAGACATACAGTGATTGTAAAGTTTGTAAGGTCACCAAAATACATTCAATCCGTGATCCTGATGCATGCTCAATAATCCAGAAAGAAAAATCCAAAAAAGTTCAATCTGGTCCTCTGGACATTCAAAAAACAAAAAACAAAACAAAGCAAA